ATTGACTGGTATGCCTTCCATGGAGGCGAGGCGAAGGCCCACATGGTTGACTCCTCAGTTCTTCATGACTCCTCAATTCTTCATAACCTCGGAGAGGTACGATCAGGAGTCAGCAATGACGGTTTTCGTTGATTTGGGCTCTTCTTTGGCTACCCCTCGGGGCCTCGCGTAGCGCTTCTGTGGCCCTTGCGGTGCTTTTTGACAGGCTCTTTGAAAGGCTCTTGGGGCCCTCTCGGGGCCATTTTGGTTATCATCTGTGTTTGAATTTGGGTTGTATTTGATTGCTGTTTCTGTTCTCCCACTTTCGGAGCGAGATGGCGAGAAACTCAGGCTAATGAAAGACCTTCGAGGTCGAGCGGATTTTGGCCTCCCTGGCGGGGATCCCTGGGATGCTTCGTGGCCCCGCGGAGTCATCTTAGGGCATATTATCGCCTCTTGAAGGCGTGTTAGACGCTGTTGGCCCAATTGGGCCATCTGCCCCATCTTGGAGGCCATCTTGGAGGCCATCTGGACACGCTGACATCTCGCGCTCCCCCCGTCCAGACTGAGAGAAAAAGAAAGAAGGACATGTACCTGCCCTGACCAGAGGGGACGGAGGGGACATGGAAGAGCTGGTTCGCTAAGCCACATCTGCCCAGAAGGCTGGTGGGGTGGTGGTAGTTTCGAATGCTGTGCCGATGTGAGCAATCTCGCTGTCCCGAGCAACGTTTCCAACGACATGAAAGAAATAAACAAGCTCCTTGTTTATCATCTGTCGCAAATGTGCGCATACATCTAGTGTTGTACATAATCTGGTACCGGCGTGGCCCCCATACATAGGTCCATTGCAGTATTGGATCATTGGGAGGTGAGGTCGAAGTGCAACGGAGTCGGGACATCGATTTCGATTTTGTTTCATGTGTGCGTGACGTGCGTGCGGGCGATGCGAAGTTGCGCGAGAGCGAGAGAGATCCTGCCTTTCCCAGTGGTGGTTTACATCAGATTCCTTTTCGCGCTCTGCGCGCGCCCGTGCCCCCCGGTTGTCCTGGGGTTGTCCTGGCGGTTGTCCCGTGGTTGTTCGGAGGTTGTCCAGCGGTTGTTCTATTTGTAGTCCTCATGGTTGTTTCGGCGGTTGTCCCAGCGGTTGTCCCAGCAGTTGCCCTGGTGGTTATCCTGGCAGCTGTCCCGTGGTTGTCACGCGGTTGTCACGTGGTTGTCCCGTGGTTGTCCCGTGGTTGTCCAGTGGCTTCTCGTGGTTAAGGTATTCTGGGGCCTCCTTGGTGCGTGCTTAGTTTGGCTCGGAAAGGCTGGAAAGCGAAACCCAGAGAGACATCTCATGCGTTTCCAATGGCAGTGGATGTCGGGGTCGCCGCCTGCGGCCTCTGGGCTCCTCTTCTTGGGTCCCTTGTACGCCTCGTGTGACCTGTGGGGGCTCGTTGGGGCCGCTAGCGTCATCTTGGAAGGCCCGTTGGGCTCTCTTGGCGACGTCCCGGCGTCCCCTTGGGGCAACTTAGCCGCCTGGAGCCGTTTTGCTCTGCTGGTCCTTCTCGCCTCCCTCCCCCACAAGCGGCGTGTGGAGTTTCATGCGCCTCCCACCTACACCCAAGTGGTCGGGAATCCCTTGAATCGTGGATGCGGGACCCCCGAGAGATGTACGATGGCCCACAGGCTCAATCTTTCCTTGGTACTTTGGGGCTTCGTCGCCCTGGTATGGGCAGCACTATAGTCGTTCAACGTCACATACCCTGTAGACACCATGTTTGCCAGCGTAGACACCATGTTTGCCAGCGTAGACCCCAAGCAATGAGATGTTGCATTGTAGATGTGTAAGCAATGTAATGTGATCTATGATGTGTGACGTTTGTGATGTGAGATGCAGGCGTAAGCTAGGTGGCGCAATCTGTACGCTGCAATCTATGTGGTATGAACTATGTGGTGTGAGCTATGCGGTGTGAGCTATGTGGTGCAACCTGTTTTAACTATCTGGTGTAAGCTTTGTGATGCAATCAACAGTCAAGGCAAGACTGAATTGTCGACCCCACTGCTTGCGTTAACATCCCGCCCTCCCACCCGCAACTTGCTGTGCAAAGTTCACGCGGCCGCGATTGCAGTCTCTGCTTGAAACTGTCTGGCGTATCTCTGCGGTCACGCTGGCGCGCGCACCCTCGTGCGCAGAGCGGCCAGCTGGCTTGGCACAACTGGTGGGGCTGTGATGGCGCTTGCCGATGGGGACTTCCCAGCGCGTCTCAGATGCTGCGCTGGCGCGCGGGCACTGCAGTGCGGGTCGGTGACTCGGGTGGACGCGATATCACGATGACGTCTACAACGGCGGCAACGATGATGATTGTTTTCGATGGTGGTCGCGATGGTGCCGATGACGACGGCCAGGCCAATGACGGCGCCGATGCTGGTGACGACGATGCCGATGATGATGTCCAGCGTTTCAACTCGTAACGTTGCATGCTTAAGTGATCCAATTCAGTCTCCTGGTCTTTATGCGTGAGATGCGACGCGGCAGTCATCCCGAACGACGTTACGTCAGGAGAGCCATATGCTCCACTGGTGCGGCTTGCAGGCTGGCGTATATATATATATATATATATATTTGCTATACTGCTTGGTGCTGGTTGCCAAAACTGGGAAAGAGCAAACCTTCCACCTGACCTCAAACGAGGCCGCACTTGGAGCGCTCGCTTCCGTGGGGGTTCAATCCTACGCACCCACTGATGATGGCGGCAGTAGCGGCGACTTTCGATGACGAAGTCGGCGGTGATGCGATGACGCTGGTGACGGTGATGGTCAGGACATCCGCGCTTGCAGAAGTGGGAGAAAAATTGTAGACTTTTTGTTGACGGGCTCTATGTTGGAATGCTTTCGAAGACACCCCGCTGTGGAGTGTTGGTTCGGAATATACTGGCTGCTTGGAGCGCTAGTAACAGTACAAGCTTTTTTTCTGCATCTATTTTTGAAGAGCGTGATTTTGAAGTGCTTCGAACACGTGTGGTTGATGACGGATTTCGACGCGCGGTCCACCGAAGGCTCCAGTGGCAAGGTTCGTATGGCGGCGCCGCCCCATTTTTGGTACATCCCTCACACGGTTCGTGGCCCCATAGGGAGCTCCATCCAAGGCCCCAGTGGCAGGGTTCGCATAGCGGCGCCGCCCCATTTTGGCACACCATTCACACAGTTCGTGGTACCATAGGGAGCTCCATCGAAGGCTCCAGTGGCAGGTTTCGCATGGCGGCGCCGCCCCATTTTGACACACCCTTCACACGGTTCGTGGTTGCACTGCAGTGTTTCCGCTTGCAAATGGTTGGGCTTTTCCTCAGGATATTTCCCAACCGTTCTGTGGTTTTCAGTCCTCGCTTTCAAGAGGCAGCGCCCCGCGTTCCTCCTCCTCATCTCCTCTTCCTTCCTCTCCTCCCTTCGCCCACGCGGGTCTCCGAACGTTTGTGTTCATGCTGATTCTTTCCTTCTCTCTGTGGGCTCGAATGGCTAGCTTCTGCTATCCGCATGTCAACCATTGCGGCACGCCCCTCACGAGAATCGTGGTCTCATAGGGAGCTTCACCGAATGCTCCAGTGGCAGGGTTCGCATGGCGGCCTCGGGCCATCTCGGCACACCACTCACGAGGATCGTGCCCCATATGGGGGCTCCACCGAAGACCCCAGTGGCAGGGTTCACATGGCGGCCTCGGGCGATTCTAACACACCCCTCACGAGGATCGTGGCCTCCAAGAGAGCTCCACCGAAGGCTTCAGTGGCAGGGTTCGCATGGCGGCCTCGAGCCATCTCGGCGCACCTCTCACGAGGATCGTGGCCCCATATGGGAGCCCCACCGAAGGCCCTAGTGGCAGGGTTCGCATGCCGGCTTCGGGCGATTTCGGCACACCGGTTCATGGCCCCATAGGGAGCTCCTCTGATGGCCCCAGTTGCAGGGTTCGCATGGCGGCTTCGGGCGATTTTAGCACCCCCCCCACGAGGATCGCGGGCCCATGGGGAGCTCCACCGAAGGCCCCAGTGGCAGGGTTCGCGTGACGGCCGCGGACAATTTCGGCGCACCCCTCACAAGGATCGTTGCCACGTATGGAGCTCCACCGAAGGCCCCAGTGGCAGGATTCGCATGGCGGCCTCGTGTCATTTTGGCGCATCCACCACGAGGATCGCGGCCCCACAGGGAGCTTCACCGAAGGCCCGAGTGGCAGGGTTCGCATGGCGGCCCCGGGCCATTTCGGCACACCCTTCACTCGCTTCGTGGCCCCATAGGGAGCTCTGGTCAGTTCGGCGCACCCCACGCACGTTTCGGGGCTTCCATCCGCGTTGCCTCGTGCTCCATCCCTTTCGCGGCGCGCTACTTTTGATGAGAGGGGCATATCCTGCGATACTTCCAGCTGCATATGGTTGGGTCCTTCGCAATTATTTTTTTGTTGGTGCACCCCCTGGTCCCACGGCCATCTAGTCGAATTATTGGATTCCGATTGGAAGAGTAGGATCGGAGGGTGGGAGAACATCACATTTTATTCTTACTGCGGTCCTAGTGTATTTCTATCGGAAGAGGAGGATGCGAGGGGAAAGGACTCCGCAGTGCATTCTTAATATATTATCATTGTATTCCGATTGTACTTCTATGGGAGGAGAAGGAGGGAGGGAGGAGGAAGGGGAGGGCCACTCCCCATTCCCAGTTACCATCTCCCCTCCTCCCCATCCTCCCTCCCCCTCCCATTTCTCTCCTCCTCCCTTCCACATTGTTTTTCATTGCGTTGCGTTGCCTTTGTTGCGTTGCATTGCAACGCTTTGCATTGCAATGCGTTGCATTGTTTTGAACTGGATTGTGTTACGTTGCATTGCATCATCCTGTTACAACGCCTTACGTCGGATATGCATTGCGTTTGGGCTTCGTCTAGGCCTTCGGCCTAGATGGGTCCCAATGGTTGCAGGGAGAATGTTGCATTGCATTGCGTCGCATTGTGGGCGCCTTGTAAGCGTCCCGTGCTGTGGGCGGGTCTGCCGACGTCTCGCCTGGTTGGCGGTGGTGGGCGCCTAGCGGGCACGCGTAATGGCGACCACGTAGATTACGCCACATGACTTGCACCGCATAGCTCGCGCTACATAGCTTCATCCATTGTTCATAAAGCTTTCACCACACTGCTTGCATCGCAGAGCTTGCAACACGTAGCGTAACCCACGTAGCCGCATAGCGTGCACCGCATAGCGTGCACCACATAGCTGGCACCACACAAGTTGTGATACAAACTTGTACCACATAACTTACATCACATTGCTTACACCGCAAAGCTTGCATCGTAGCTTATACATCCAGAGTGCAATGACGCACTGTTTTGGGTCCACGCTGGCAAGCATGCCAGGTATTCTGGAGGCGGCTTCGTTTTTGTTGTTGTTGTTGCGAGGGTCGGCTCGAGGGGCGGGGAGGGGGTCGGTTTGCAGGGGGGGCCTGTCTAGCGGTTCACTGGCGCAATCTGGGTAGTGTGGTTTGTGAGATGCAAGTGCAGAGGCGCAGTTGTGTGTGTGTGTGTGTGGGTTGTCTAGGTGGCTGGTTGGGCTGATTGGTGGGTGGGCTGGTAGGGATTGTTGGGCTGCTTGGGCTCGCTGGTTGAGCTGGCTAGAGCAATTCGTTTCGAGTATCAATATTCCTGGCTCAGCCCCGGCCCGTATCCCACCGCACCCAGCTCTTGTCCGCCCTACCACGCCGCTGTACCCCCATTCGGCGCAGGCACCCTCCCGATACACATCAATCTTGCCAGATCAAGTATCGTCTTGAAGAGGGAAGGCGGAATGGAGGGAGCGGAGGCGCGGGAAGCGCGGGGAGTCTGGCAACTCGACCTGCCATCTGGAGGTGTGTCTGCAGGATCGCATGCACTCTTCTCATCCCTCCCCCAGGAGGGGAGCAGACGAGGACCATGAGAACGACGCCCCTCAGGCGCGGGTTCGCGGCGCTCTGGCCTGTCCACCTGGCATTCCCCCCCCCCGCCCCGTCGCCCTTTCCCCCCCGCTCCCGCTTCCCCTCCCCTCATCACTCCTCCTCTCCCCCTAATTATTTTGCGCTCGCACTCGTACTCGCAACATGGGCGCTGGGGTCAAATGTGTAACCCGCTCCTTCTCCCTCATCCTTCTCCGAAGCATTTCGGCCTTTCCGCAATTGGAGGGGCAGGGGGTGTGTTCTGGAAGTGCCACCCGTCACATGTTGTGATTGCGATTGACGCCTAGCATGGGCTACGCATATGGGGCAATTTGAAAAGCGTTGGAGAAGTCTCAGGCTTCAGCGCATTGTCAAGAGCAGCTATCCAAAGCCGTTCCCAGGCATACGCAGAAGACAATCGTACCGTATTAGTTTCGACAAGCTCTCCCCGCTCTCCAAAATCACCCGACGCCTTCCCCGAATGTCAGTTACCAGGAGCGCACAGGTTAACCCACATTGGGCATTCACATTGTGAGTGTCGGGCTGAATCAAGATTACTTTCAGTGGTGGACGCAGCTTGCACTTCTGGCTTGCGGTCAGCAACAACCTGACAGGGACAAGTACAGTGTGGCCACAGAAGGCTTCTCCCACCATGCGCTGCTCGACAGGCCTGGTTTTGTTTTTAGGGTGATCTGTCGTTCCCCCACGTTGTTTCTAAGCGGCCTGGTATCATTGGCAGGTTTGTGGGCGCGCACATTCCTTCTTGTAGTTGCTTGCGGCCTCTTTCCCCCGATGGCCCGTGTTTACGGCTTTCTACATCCACGCTGTCAAATTGATATCCCTAGTCTTGGAGCAATCCGCTTTTGCAAGTTTCTTTGGAGCGCGCCAGGGATCTCATACTCATGGTTCGTCTGCTCATGGCGTCTCTCCGTTGCCAGAGTCTCCCTCGCTCACGGTGCTTATCTGAGGAAGAAAGTGGGGGACGGGGGGAGAAATGTTGAGAGGGGAGACAGGAGGAGGAGACAGAGGAGGAGGAGCAGGAGGAGGAGGAGGAGGACGAGGATAAACACACTTTCCTCTTCGTTTCCCTGTGCAAAATTATTCTTCCTCCTATTCCTTTTCCTTCTCCTCGCTATCTTCATCGTAATTACAATTCTGGTCTTCCTTCTCTTCTTCCTGAACATCGTTGCCATGCGCCGCGGCAGAGCTTGCGAGCGCGAAGCGCGCGCGTGGTTCTACAGCCTCGGGAGAGTGTCCTTCAACGCCAGTCCACGGGACAACGTTGGCTTGCAGTCAGTCGCTTGTCAGTGAGGGCGAGGCGCTGTGGGCTTGCACCGCATAGCTTTCACTATAGCACTGCGTAGCTTGCACCGCTCAGCCTGCGCCAAAAACTTGCATCGCACAACTGGTGCCACACTGCTTGTACCGCATAGCTTGCACCGCGTGACATGCACCCGCTTTTTACCGGGCGGCGCTGCGCTCAGTGCTTTTCGCGGCCGCTGCCGCCGCCGCCGCCGCCGCCGCCGCCGTCGTCGTCGTCGTCGTCGTCAACGTCGTCGTCGTCGTCGTCGTCGTCGTCGTCGTCGTCGTCGTCGTCGTCGTCGTCGTCGTTGTTCGTCGTCGTCGTCGTCGTCGTCGGCGTCGTCGTCGTCGTCGTCGTCGTCGCCCTGGTTGGGGCTCCTCGTCGCTGCGGTCGCACTCGGCTTCGGCCGGCGCTCGGGGGCGCCTTGTGGATGCCCCTCGCAGCGAATCACAGCACACCTGGCAACTTGCGAGGATGTCTCAAGCGAATCTTCGCACAAACCAGGTCAATGCATCGGCGTCACCCCAACATACTTCTACTATATGTGCGTCGCCCCCCCAGGGGCGACGCGCGCACCGAGAAATCTTATAGTATATGCGTTGTGGCGGGCGCTTTCTGGCCACACCGCTCGGGAAACGATATACTACAAGATGGGTATACTATATGTTCAGGTCGGACGCGCGCCTCCAAGGAGGACATATAGTATTAGTATGTCCCTCTGCGTCCCAATGCAGGCAAATCGTCAGGACGTCTTAGGCAAACCGTGCCCAAAGCAGGCCCAGCAGGGCAAGCGAAGTCCTGAGGACGTATTCGGCAGAACCGCGAACGTACCAGGCTAAGCAAACAAATCTGCGAGGATGTTTCAGGCGAAATCGCACCGAAACCAGACCAAATCAGGCAAATTGCGAGGACGGGTCAGGCGAAACCGCAACAACTCCAGGCTAAAACAAACATTACGAGGATGTCTCAGGCGAAACCGCGCCTAATCCAGGCCACACCAGGCCATTTTCGAGGATGTCTCAGCCGATACCGCGCCCAATCCAGACCAAACCAGGCAACTTGCGAGGATGTCTCAGGCGAACCTTGCCCCAAACCAGGTGACGCTAGGGCTCAGACAAGGTAGAGCCTGATGATGTCTCAGGCGGGGCGCCCGGCCGGCCAGACCAGGCCAGGGGCCAAATGGGGCAAATTCAGAGGATGTCCTGAGCGAAATACCCCAGACCAGGCTCCATCCATTCCCTATGCTAGAATGTCTCAAACGTTGAACGAAAAGAATGTATGGCCCGAGGGAGTCCCACCGTAGTTCGAATTTCATAAGATGGTGAGTGGTGTGCAACAGCGTGCATGTGGCCGGGGCGCAACGGCATGCATTTGCCTTCCCGTTGCTGTCTGGGCCGCGCTGCGGCGTTTTGGAACATCCCGAAATTGTATCTGTATATGTATATAATTGTTTGTATGTGTATACATATGTACACATGTACACGTACATGCATCTATATGTTTGTATATATTTGCATATACGCGCAATTGTACACATATCTATATATATATATATATATATATATTATATATATATATATATATATATTCGTTTCCAGTCTGTACACCACTGCAAGTGCATGTGTGCATTTACATGCGTATACACATGTTTACGGTTGTGTACAGTCTACGTGCACACATACAATTCTAGACGCTTCGCGTATCCCCACCAGCCCGTCCAGAAACGACGCCCAGGCGAGTAGAGGGTCGTCCTGAGGGGCTTTTCAGCGTCTTGGGTGCCTCGGGGGGGCCTCTGTGGGCCGTTCGGGATCTTCTTTGGGGCCTCCTGGGGGCCTCTTGGGGCCTCTTGGGGCCATCTTGGGGCCTTTGGGGGCCTCCTGGGCGCTTCTTGGGGCCATCTTTGCCCCTTGGGTGCCTCTGGGGGGTCTCTTGGGGCCTCTTGGGGGTCTCTTGGGGGCCTCCTGGGGGCCTCTTGGGGGGCCTCTTGGGGCCATCTTGGGGCCATCCTGCGGCCTCTTGGGGCATCCTGGGGGCCTCTTGCGGCCATCGTGGAGGAAATCGATCAAAGAAGTGGGGTTCCCTGATTACAGCACCCCCCCCCAGGAGCTCCACAAATCGCTTCCTGGACCCCTCTTGGATCGCTCTTGGAGCGCTCGTGGCCGCTCTTGGAGCCATCCTGAGGCTCTCTTGGGCCCCTCTTGGAGCTATCTTGAGCCACCTCGGAGCCATCTTGACGCGTCGGATGTGCATCGCAAGCGAAAAAGTGAGAATACCAAAAACATTGTTTTTCCGTAGGGTTTTGAAGCATTTTGGCCTCTTGGATGCATCCTAACGATGCTCTTGTGGGCACTTGGAACCGTCTTGGTGAGTTCTTGGAGCGTCTTGGAACATCATGGGGACCATATTGAGGCATCTTGCGCTATCTTGAGCCATCTTGGAGGTCATCTTGAGCTCCCTGAGGCCCTCTTGGAGCCGTCTTGGGCCATCTTGGGCGCTCCAACGCGCCGCGGAACCCCCTGTCCAGGTCAGCGGGGAGGGGGTAGGGGGAGGGGTAAACCCCTCCCCGAAGGGGAAGAAGGAGGGGTGGAAGAGGAAACGCTCTAAACCACCGACGCCCAGAGGGCTGGTGGGATTTTAGAGCGAGGCCGACTCGCAGCTCTCAGTCTGTTTCAAGACGGATTAGCATGTGTCGGGACCATCGTCTTGTCATCCCCGTGCTGCGACATGCCACCAGCGCAGCCGCAATGGCACGCGAACAGTCACAAATGGATCTGGATCTAAAAGCGATCAGCGGGCCTAAGGCCGCGTTGATAACTGACGGATTCTTCACTCTTGACCATTCTGATGGACACGAATACTTTCACCATGACGACCCTTTGATCAAAATATGATTGTTAGGGAGAGAAGTTCGAGAAATCGCTGCCCATTACATAAAAGAACACACGGGAAAAAATCCTACTAACCCCGGTAGGGTTACCCTGGCCAGAACGGCTGAATACGTGATCCCAGAGATCATCCAGACCATAGTAGATGACAATTGGTTAGTACCAGTGCAACAAATGCAACTGGGCCTTCGGCCCATAAGGATTTTCGCAATTGTTCGTGAGATAATCAGCTATTTCACATCGGAAGATCACTTTATTGATTACCCGGGGCGAATCATTCGTCCCGAAATGGTGAGCACAGAAGAAATTGATTCAAAGAAACGGACCGACGAATATGCTTTGGACTGCCGCATTAGTGCGGCTGTTAAAACGGACGATATCATAGAGAGATGGGCCCACAAGATGGGCATGAGAGTACAAAACGACGTCCGTTGCCACGGTGCTCTGATACAGGGCGCCACTTCTTAGCTACAGGATAAGTATCCGGACCCTGGTACTGGACTCCAGGACAAAGATTATGGACCTTTCCGCACTGCATGCGGAATATATGGCGTGCCGTGACGACCAGGGAGATAAACCCACAACATCCCAACATGGGGGATCGGTCGGAATCACGACGCACGCGCGATGCTGCCATGGATGCTGCCGCAGGCGCTGCCATGGATGCTGCCGCAGGCGCTGCCATGGATGCTGTCGCTGGCGCTGCCAGGGACGCTACCGCAGACGCTGCAATGGATGCTGTCGTCGGCGCGATGATGGATGCTGCCGCAGATGCAGCCGCGGATGCTGCCAGCAGCGATGCAGGCAACAACTACGAGTACGACCCTTCCAGGTCCTACCCGCGCTACGTGGACGGAACCCTCGTCGGGTACTACATTCACCGTAACAGGGTCACGTGGCTTACCGACGCTGTGTGGTACACGCTGAATTACTGGCACCAGCTATCAAAATGGGAGCACGACTTCCACTTTCCGCCGAGAGGGACGGCACCGATGAGCGACATTGAAAGGGAAAGAGGGCGGTCTCGCACGCCTCGTGGCGTAGAGGTACAGACCGGAGGATCGGCGTCGTCAAACCCGCCGCCTCCGGCGCCGCCCAGACGGGAGAACGAGCACAACCCGTGGGATAACCTGAGCTGAGTTTAGCCCGCGTGACTCAGTCGCGGCAGGCGCATGCAAAACAGTTTACCCACGCGCGAAATGCGTGTTGGGCGCGGACACCTCTACTGGTCGGCTAAGCCGGTCCAGCGGAGAGAATTTATTTATCACAATGGTGGGAAACGTCGAGCCTCTTCGGCCCGTGGCCCCCTGGCAGCCACCGTTGAGCTGTAAAAGCTTTTTCGGGTTGGCTCCGGTGGTTGTACACATGTACAGGCCGGGGGTGCTGTGGCTGGATGGGCTCTACGCGGCCCGCCGCGGGGGGAGTAAATATGCTCCTCTCCGCCTCATAATAAATTAAGACATAACTTAGTTTGCATGCGTTGCACTGTCCGCTGGAACTGACAGCTGCGTTCTGCAGCTGTATGACTGCTCGAGCAAGCCAGCCTTGGCTTGCAGGAGAGAAAAGGAGCGCGCTGGGGCGCGTGGGCGGCCCGTCGTCGTCCGTCCTCGGCCGGCCTCCTCCCTTCACATTCCTGTTAGAGTAGTCTTGCTTAGCGGATACTTGTCTTATCGATGTCTCATCCCGTCCCCTCTCTCCCTGAGCAGAGTGAACATGAGATCTTAATTCATGTGTCATCTTATCCCGATTCTCAGAGGAAAGACTCATCCCTGGGGGGGCTGCGATCTGTGAAGCTGTCGCCACTTTCGAGGCCTGCTGGGGGGCCCAGCACAGTGAGGCCACATGCAGACCCAAATTAGACCTCGCCATCCCTGGGGGGCTGCGATCTGTGAAACTGTCGCCACTTTCGAGGCCTGCTGGGGGGCCCAGCACAGTGACGCGCTACGCGGATCCACAATAGAACTCCGTATCCTTGGGCCGGAGGGGCTGCGGGTCAGGAGGAGGCGGCGGAGTCGGAGGAGGAGGAGGAGGAGGAGGAGGAGGCGAATGAGGAGCAGGACGTTCGCCGCTTGCGTGGGACGTCGTCGGCGTCGTCGCCGCCGTCGTCGTCATCGTCGTCGTTGTCGTCGTTGTCGCCGTTGGCGTCGTCATCGTCGTCGGCGTCGTCATTCTCGTCACCGTCGGGTCGCCGACGTCGTCGCCGTCGCCGTCGTCGTCGTTGAGTCATCGCCACCGTCGTCGTCATCATCGTCGTAGTCATCGTCGTCGTCACCGTTGTCATCGTCTCCGTTGTCGTCGTCGTCGTCGTCGTCATCGCCGTCGTCATCCTCGTCGCCGGTGTTGTCGTCGTCGTCGTCGTCGTCGTCGTCGTCGTCGTCGTCGTCGTCGCCGTCGTCGTCGTCGTCGTCGTCGTCGTCAACGCCGTCGTCGCCCCGTGGCCGACGGGCTGCTCCCCTGGCGGCTCCGCGCCAGGGGAGCATCTCTCGGGGGCTGCGATATGAGATCCCCGCTTTCGAAGTGGCTAGGAGTGCTCAGGGATTGTAACTAATCAGCTTTATCTAGTCCTTGTCCTGTAGCCAGTGTCCTGCGAGTCTCCCGAATTCCATCTGCAGACATATGTAACCCTCGCTCCGTCATCGCCCCCGTTATAAAATGTCCTAAACTATTTGCGCCCCGCGTTTGCGCAGGGGGTACGTCGCCCGGGTAATTCAAGGTTTTTTGAACCCTCCATTTGGGGCCCCGTCCGGGGATACACGATCGTGGCGTCCACTTTCGAAATGGGTGCGTCCGAATAGCCCCCCTGGGGGTGTGTCCCCCGCCTCCCTGATGTTCTAGACGGCGTGCTTCTGCTGGGGGAGGAATCGGGGATGGGCCGGGCGAGATTTCGCCTGTGACGCCGCCTCCTCGCGCGCAGGTGGGCCCCCTGCGATCCCCTCTCAGAGGCTCGCTGCGCAGAGCCACGGGCCACGGTTGCTATGTAGCGGCGATCCGAGGGATCCAGGGGGGGGGGTGGAGGATTCTGAACAATGGACTCTGCACATGCGCTCCCAGGCACGACCAGCGACCGTGCCCAGGGCGAGAGCCGGGGCCAACGCCTGACACAGCAGGAGCCCTCGGCACGGCATGCCACCCTGCACTCGCAGGAGAGGCGCAGCAGCAGCAGCAGGCTGAGGACGCGAGAGGAATAAGAGAGCCCGCAGCCATCTTGGCTCTGGGAGCAGCCCCGGTCCCGCGGCGTCCCCAGCGCGCGGAGGGAGCCCGCCGGGCACCGCGCGCGCGGCTCTCCGCCTCGGCCGCGAAGGGGACCCGGGTCGGCGCCATGGGCGGCACGCCGCGGGTGCTGCCCCCCTCGTTCTGGCTCCCGCGCGGGGCGACGGCGTCCACGGAGGGCACGACCCCGCGCGGAGTGGACCGCGCCGCCGCGCTCGGGCCGAGCGGCACGCCGCGCTTGGCCACGGGCAGCACCCCGCGCGGGGCAGACCGCACAACGCCGCGGTCGCTGCCGCCGACCCCGCGCTCGGCGGCGTCGAGGACCCCCCGTGACACGCGCCGCACCTCCTGGCTACCGCCAGTGCCGCGCAGGTCACCCAGGTCGGAGTCGCCGGCTGGCGTGATGCGGTCGACGCCCCCCCCGGGGTGGGCGGCGGTCGCCGCCGCCTCTGCTCGGCACGACGACCATGATCCGACCGCGCCCCTCCGGAAGAGCTCCCTGAGTTCCGTGTCGCGCCAGAATTCCCTGAGCTCCGTGTCGCGCCAGAATTCTCTGACTTCCGTGCCGCGCCTCACCCTGCCGAGCGCGAGCGAGAGCGCCCGGTTGCTGCGGCAGCGTGCGGAGCAGAGGACGGCCCTGAATGTGGGCAGGGTCTCGTGGGTCTCGTGGGGCATCTTGTCCCCGCGCTCAGACAGCGCCGAGACCCCGCGGAAGGTGAAAATGGCGTGGTTGGGGGCCTGCTTGTCGGGCACCCTCCTGCTGGTGCTCTCGGGCTCCCTGCTCGCGGGCTACTACCATCTTCCAGGCTCGATGCTGAGGGGGAGGGGGGGCGGCATCAACGAGCGCAGGGCCATGGTCGTGGACGTGCAGCCCGGTCCCTCGCAGCAGGGCGAGATTGAACAGGGGAGCGCCCTCTCTGTCGTGGCCCACTTGCCCACCACGACGAGAACGGCCACAGCCTCTGGGCATGGGAGCGCGCTCCCCCTCGTGGCCAACACGTCCACCACACCAAGCACGGTTGCGACCTCCGCGACCACAACGAGCACCTCGACCTCGACCACCACAAGCTGCATGACGCCCGTCGTCGGTGAGCATTGCTACAACGAGGTCTTGAGCGCGATGTACGACGTCCGGGAGAATCCCGAAAGGTGGGCGGGTCTGAGTGAGTCGTCGTCCTTCGAACAAGTCCAGGATTTCCTGCACTCGGACGCTGGCAGAGCTAGTAGCTGCCAGCAGAGCTGCAGCTGCAGCACGGCACAGCCTGGGTCGCGCTGTTACGAGGAGGTGATGTACGCTTCCGACAAGGGCATCGAGGAACATCCAGAATGGTACGAGAACTTGATGAGAGGCTCTTCCTTCGAGGACTTCCAGGCCCACCTCTGGCGATACTGGGAGAAGGCCAGCTGCGAGAGGCCGTGCAGAGCCCCGCTGAAGAAGGGGCTCTCGGTGTTCTGCTGGACGCTCGCGCGCAGCACCAACTACGAGGCGGATCTGATGGCGAAGCAGCTGGAGCTGGGCGCGGGGATCTTCGGCTGCGACGGCTTCGCGGTGCTCAGCGAGCAGGAGTGGGCCGTCGGAGCAGGGTCTGGTGGAGAGGTGGCCGCGCTGACCTTCCAGGGCGCTGCGGTGGGCACCTCCAAGGACGGCACCGCCGGCAACGCGGCCCTGTTCATGCGTGCGTGGCAGGCGGTCCTGCGCAGGACGGCGGCCCTCAGCTTCGACTGGACTGTGAAGGTGGACTTGGCTCATCCTAAATCCGTCAGCCACGCGCAGAGGGGGTTAATTAGGGGGAGGGGGGAAGGCTTCTCAGAAGCACCCCTGCTTCTTAGAAGGTGAGGGCCTTCTCTGTAGATGTAAGGCCAGCGCCTTCTAAGAAGCAGCCTCCTTCTAAGAAGCCCTCCCCACTCCACCTACCCCCTTGTGCGTGCCGCCAAATCAGGCTGAGAACTTCTGGTTAGCGGTTAGCGTGTCGCGCTGCGGGTTGTGGGCCACCGCGCTTCGGCGCGACGCGCTGTCACTACCCCTCAGCGGGCGCGCTCCACTACTCGCAATGTGCCTACTCGCAAACGTCCTGAAAACAGACGTTTGCTTCTATGTACTGGAACGCGCTTGTCTGTCCCCAGCCTCCCAGCGTCAACGTCCCGAGTGTTTCCCCTCTTCCCGTCGTGCGAAGCGGAGCGGCACGCTACCCGCTTGGCAGGGCACGGCGTGCAGCCGGGGCTGCCGCAGTGACACGCTACCCAAACGCTCCCGACCAAGGGTTTTGCGCTTTGCGTTCTGGACTCGGCGTCTCGGCAGCCAGTGTACTGGCGCTTTCAGGTCTCGGCGAGAGAATCGAACACGCCAAAAACGCATCGCTGTTGTGTCGTTGTCAGGTCTGTTGTTTTCCATCGTCGGAGCCCGCCGCGGGCTGCCAGGCCTGTTGCGCACAGGTGTCAGACCGGTGTCAGAGCGTGGTGAGCTACCGTGTTCAGCTCTGCGCACGGGAACGGAAGCAGTGTCGGTTCCCGCCCCACCTATGGATCTCTCGACGAAGAAGAGAAAAGTAAAACATTGCATTCAGAGCGCTGAAAGACCGACGCGTGTTCTAAGCGTTTTCAGCCTGTCGAGGGACCCAATATTATAACTCTACAAACAAGTAGGGCATTTCAAAGATGAGCCAAGAAGGTGGACCCAGACTCAGTGCTCTTTGCGGACAAGCTCCGAGATCACCTGAAGGAGGCGGAGGTACGTGGAGCGAACAAAGTTAAGCAATTGAAGAACGCAGCAACCTTCATCAGGAATTGCAACGCGTACCCAGGAACAGACGGTTTCCCGGCCATGTTCGGCGCGTTGGAGGTGGTATCCAGACAGGCCGTCAAGGTGTATCAGGATGGAGCGTCGAGATGCAAGGAGGAGCTGGATTGGGAGGCGTGGGGCGAGGACCTCTTCCTCAGCCAGTGTCTTTCCCACCTGGGCGTGCCCCCGATGGATGATTTCTCCATCACCAGCGACGGCACGTGCACCAAGGTCGACGAGCACGTCGAGGTCGACTGCAGCGCCTCCTGGCCTGCCGCCTTCCACCCGTTTAAGACTGCTGACGACTGGGCGGCCTGCTGGCGCCTGGCCGCCCCATAATGCGGAGGAGCCGCCGCCCCCGAGCTGGAGACGGCCGCGCCGGCCGCTCCGGCCATGGAGGCCGAGGGCCTTTGGTCGGACTTCGTGCTCGGGGAGGGGGCGGGAGAGGAGGATAGGAGGAGGACGAAAGAGTGGTGGAGTGGCAGGAGGAGGAGGAGGAGAATCAGAAGATGAAGACGAGGAAGAGGAGGAGGAGGAGGAGTAGGAGGAGGAGGAGGAGGACGAGGGCAGCGTCTGAGAGACACTCCAGCCTACAGCCCGGAGCCCACTCTTCACCGCCCACCAAACCATCCAAACCCAACCCAAAGGCCCTAATTTGCCTCCATTCCCAGCGGGGGGGGGAGTCGGTGCACATCGAAAAAACATCCACCATGAAGCCCGTGCCCTTCCTCCCCCCCCACCCGAAATTTGGGTCTTCGGGTCTGGGGCTCCACGTCGGATCTCAGGGACCTCCGCTCTCGACCTGGTGATCCAGGGGGTCCTGGTTGGGGTGGGGGTTATTTGGGGCGGGGCTGCTGGGGAGGCCCGACGCCACCCTCCACCCCCAGCGTGGGCACCCTGGATCACCAGGTCGGGAGCGGGGGTCCTGGCTGGGAGTGGGGGTGGGTTGCGCTGTCCTCGGGGGCGGGAGCGAGGAGTGCGAGGAGCGAGGGATGATCATGCCGGGCGCGTGCGCGCGCCGCCTTTCCCTTCCCGCCCCGAGTGGCGAGCAGCTCTCCGCGCGACCCGTGCTCCCAGGGCGGCCTTTTTTGTCGGCGATCGACGCGTGATCCATCCCCCTGCTGCTGCCTCCCGCTGTGGGCGCCACGGGAAGCTGGGCATGGATCAACCACGTGGCCTCGGAGGTCAGGCATTCATGCACATCCCCGCTCTGGCTCCTGGGGTCGGGGCGCGAGCGGGGGCATGGATAAAACGTCGATCGCCTACTTGGCGCGCGGGAGTCGGATCTACGTAGCTGCGCCTGGTGGGCGTCTTCGTCCGTGCCTCGGCGTCCCAGCGCCTTCGGGCGGTTCAAGGATAGGACCCTGAGGAATGGGGCCCTACAGGCGAGGGTCTTCAAACTACAGTGATTCAGACTGGGCTCCCTTCCTATCGAAGACGCCTACGGCGAATCACCGCCGCCCCCTGCCTTTTTGGAAGCGCTTCTGTGTTCGCCGAATCGGTTTGGAAGGCCTTCGGGGAACACGTGGGCATCTTGAAGGTCATGTTGGCCGTGTGGAGGCCATTTTGACCCTTTCGGGCCTTCTTGGAGGACGTCTTGGAGGGCTCTTGGGTCGTCTTGGAGGCCACCTTGAGCGTCTTGGAGGCCTCTTGGGCCGTCTTGGGGGCCTCTTGGGGCCGTCTTGGGCCTCTTCGGCGATCTTTGGGAGCACTTGGGCCGTCTCGGGCCGTCGGAAGGCCAAACAAAAAGAAAATGCCACAATCCTTCAAAAACTTATGGAAAATAAGTGTTTTTGGCCTTCTCTGGCCTTCCTGGAGGCCTCTTGGAGGCCTCTTGGGCCGTCTTGGACCAGCTTCGAGCCAACTTCGGCCATCTCGGTGGGTTCCTGGCCCGTCTGACGCCGTTGGAAGCCGTTTGGGGGGCCCCTCTGGGCCGACTTGGGGCCCTCTTGGAATGCTCCAGGGCCGTCTTGGAGGCCATCTTGGGCGTCATAAAGGCCTCCTGGGCCGTCTTGGGGGCCTCTTGGGGGCTTCTTGGGGGCCTCTTGGGCCGTTCTGGGGCTATCTTGGAGGCCTCTTGGGCGATCTTTGGGCGATCTTTGGGGGCTCTTGGGCCGTCTCGGGCCGTCGGAAGGCTGAAAAGAAGCAAATGTCAAAATCTTGCAACAAAAACCTCAGGTAATCAGTGTTTTCAGCTTCGAGCCAACTTCGGCCATCTTGGTGGGTTCCTGGCCCGTCTGACGCCGTCGAGAGCTGTCTTGGGGGCCTCTCTGAACCGGCTTGGGGCCCTCTTGGGGCGCTTCGGGGCCGTCTTGGAGGTCATCTTGGGCGTCTTGGAGGCCTCTTGGCCCGTCTTGGAGCCCTCTTGGGGCCGTCTTGGGGGCCTCTTGGGCCGTCATGGGGCCCTCTTGGAGGCCTCGTGGGCGATCTTGGGGCGATCTTGGCGGCCTCTTGGGCCGTCTTGAGCCGTCGGAATGCCGAGAAGAGGCAAATGTCAAAATCCTTCGAAAACCTAAGGAACATCTATCATTTTGGCCTCTTCGGGCCCTCCTGGAGGACCTCTTGGAGACCTCTTGGGCCGAGTTGAGGCCTCTTGGGCCGTCTTGGGCCATCTTGAGGCTATCTTACGCCATCTTGGGTACATCTCGGGCGGTCTTGGAGGCATCTTGGGGCCATCTTAGCCGTCTTGGAGGCCATCTTGGCCGTCTTGGAAGCATCTTGGAAGCCATCTTGGGTCATCTTGGAGCCATCTGGGGCAGGAAAACCCTCGGCAACCACCTCTGGGAGATCCTTTCCGGGTGGCAGGCGGGACGAGCCGGAGGCCCAGGGGGAGTTCTTTAGGAAAAAGAGCCAAAACCAAAACCGAAAGGGTCTAGCACGCCATGCACCCCTGCGATGAATCGACAAGGGGCGGCGGATCTAAGACGCCGACGGCGAATCACCGCCGCCCCCTGCCTTTTTGGAAGCGCCTAGGTGGCCGAACGTTGAGGTTGGACCTGCCAAGCTACCGGACCATGTGTTCCCCGAATCGTTTTGGAGAGCCTTCGGGGAATACGTGGGCATTTTGAAAGTCATTTTGGCCGCCTGGAGGCTATTTTGACCCTTCGGGCCTTCTTGGAGAACGTCTTGGAGGGCTCTTGGGCCGTCTTGGAGGCCATCTTGAGCCTCTTGGTCTTGGGCCGTCTTGGGGGCCTCTGGGGGCCGTCGTGGGCCTCTTGGGCGATCTTCGGGTGCACTTGGGCCGTCTCGGGCCGTCGGAAGGCAGAAACAAATCAAATGCTACAATCCTTCAAAAACCCACGGGAAATCAATGATTCAGACTTTTTCGGCCCTTCCTGGAGGCCCTCTTGGAAGCCTCTTGGGCAGTCTTGGGCCATCTTAGGGCCATCTGGTCATTTTGGTGGGCTCCTGGCCCGTCCGACGCCGTCGGAAGCCGTTCGGGGGTCCACTCTGGGCCGACTTGGGGTCCTCTTGGAATGCTCCAGGAACCGTCTTGGAGGCTATCTTGGGCGTCATAAAGGCCTCCTGGGCCGTCTTGGGAGCCTCTTGGGCCGTTCTGGGGCCATCTTGGAGGCCTCTTGGGCGATCTTTGGGCGATCTTTGGGGGCTCTTGGGCCGTATTGGCCAAACAGAAACAAATGCCAAACCTTCAAACACAAATGAAAAGCATTGTGTTTGGCCTTGGTGGAGGCCCTCTTGGAGGCCTCTTGGGTCGTCTTGGGCCAGCTTCGAGCCAACTTCGGCCATATTGGTGGGCTCCTGGCCCGTCTGACGCCGTCGGAAGCCGTTTGGGGGGGCCTCTCTGGGCCGACTTGAGGCCCTCTTGGGGTGCGTCAGGGCCGTCTTAGAGGTCATCTTGGGCGTTTTGGACGCCTTTTGGGTCGTCTTTGTACCCTCTTGGGGCCGTCTTGGAGGCCTCTTGGGCAGTCCTGCGGCCATCTTGGAGGCCTCTTGGGCGCTGTGGGAGCGATCTTGGGGGCCTCTTGGGCCGTCTTGTGTCGTCGGAAAGCCGAAAAGGAGCAAATACGAAAATCCATCAAACACCCTAGGAAACACAATGGTTTTGGCCTCTTCGGGCCCTCCTGGAGAACCTCTCGGATGCCTCCTGGGCCGTCTTGAAGGCCTCTTGGGCACCTCTTGGGCCGTCTTGGGCCGTCTTGGGGGTTTCTTGGGCGGACTTGGAGGCATCTCCTCCTCTCTTGGGCCATCTTGGCCGTCTTGGAGGCCTCTTGGGGCTCTCTTGGGGCCGTCTTGGGGGCCTCTTGGGCCGTCATGGGGCCATCTTGGAGACCTGGAATGCCGAGAACAAGCAAATCCCAAAGTCCTTCAAAAACCTACGGAAAATCAATGGTTTGGGCCTCTGCGGCCCTTCCTGGAGGCCCTCTTGGAGGCCTTTTGGGCCGTATTGAAGGCCTCTTGGGCCGCCTTGGGCCATGTTGAGGCCATCCTGAGGCTAGCTGAGGCCGTCTTGGGTACATCGTGGGCCGTCTTGGAGGCATTTTGGGTCAATTTTAGCCGTCTGGGAGGCCATCTTGGTCCGTCTTGGAGACGTCTTGGAGACCATCCTGGGCCATCTTGGCGTCTTGGACGCCATCTTGGGCCAACTGGAGGAAACAGAGGCACGACGGACGCATTTTGAGATCCTTTCCGGGTGGCCGGCGGGACGGGCCGACGCCCCAGGGGGAGTTCTGTTGGAAAAAGAGGCAAAACCAAAAGCCATATAGTTCGGCACACCAGGGATCGAAGACGCCTACGGCGAATCACCGCCGCCCCCTGCCTTTTTGGAGACGCCTATGTGGCCGAACGTTGAGGCCAGACCTGCCAAGCTATCGGACCATGTGTTCCCCGAATCGGTTTGGAAAGTCTTCGGGGAACACGTGGGCATCTTGAAGGTCATCTTGGCCGTGCGGAGGCCATTTTGACACTTCCGGGCCTTCTTGGAGAACGTCTTGGAGGGCTCTTGGGCCGTCTTGGAGGCCATCTTGAGCGTCTTGGAGACCTCTTGGACCGTCTTGGGGGCCTCTAGGGGCCGTGTCTTGGGCCTCTTGGGCGATCTTTGGGTGCACTTGGGCCGTCTCGGGCTGTCGGAAGGCAGAAACAAATCAAATGCTACAATCCTTCAAAAACCCACGGAAAATCACATTTTTTTGCCTTTTCGGACCTTCCTGGAGGCCCTCTTGGAGACCTCTTGGGCCGTCTTGGGCCATCTTAGGGACATGTTCGGCCGTCTTGGCGGGCTCCTGGTCCGTCTGACGCCGTCGGAAGCCGTTCGGGGGGCCTCTATGGGCCGACTTGGGGCCCTCTTGGAATGCTCCAGGGCCGTCTTGGAGGCCATCTTGAGCGTCATAAAGGCTTCCTGTGCCGTCTTGGGGGCCTCTTGGGGCCGTCTTGGGCGATCTTGGGGGCCTCTTGGGCGCTCCTCCTGGGCCGTCTTGGAGGCCTCTTGGGCACCTCTTGGGCCGTCTTGGGCCGTCTTGGAGGTTTCTTGGGCGGACTGGAGGCAGATCCTCCTCTCTGGGGCGGACTTGGAGGCCATCTTGGATCAGATTGGAGGCCATCTTGGCCGTCTTGGAGGCCATCTTGGCTGTCTTCGAGGCCTCTTGGGGCCCTCTTGGGGCCGTCTTGGGGGCTTGTTGGGCCGTCTGGGGCCATCGTAGAAGCTTCGTAGGCGATCTTGGGGCGATCTTGGGGGCCTCTTGGGCCGTCTTGAGCCGTCGGAATGCCGAAAAGAGATAAATTCCAAAATTCTTCAAACTCCTAAGGAAAATCAATAATTTTGCCCTCTTCGGGCCTTCTTGGTGGACCTCTTGGAGGCATTTTGGGGCCGTATTGAAGGCCTCTTGGGCCGTCTTGGGCCATGTTGAGGCCATCCTGAGGCTAGCTGAGGCCCTCTTGGGTACATCTTGGGCCGTCTTGAAGGCACCTTGGGGCCATCTTAGCCGTCTTGGATGCCATCTTGGACCGTCTTGGAGACGTCTTGGGGACCATCCTGGGCCTTCTTGGCCGTCTTGGAGGCCTCTTGGGGCCCTCTTGGGGCCGTCTTGGGTGCCTGTTAGGCCGTCTGGGGCCATCTTGGAAGCCTCGTAGGCGATCTTGGGGCGATTTGGGAGCCTCTTGGGCCGTTTTGAGCCGTCGGAATGCCGAAAAGAGATAAATTCCAAAATTCTTCAAACTCCTAAGGAAAATCAATAATTTTGCCCTCTTCGGGCCTTCTTGGCGGACCTCTTGGAGGCCTTTTGGGCCGTATTGAAGGCCTCTTGGGCCGTCTTGGGCCATGTTGAGGCCATCCTGAGGCTAGCTGAGGCCCTCTTGGGTACATCTTGGGCCGTCTTGGAGGCATCTTGGGGCCATCTTAGCCGTCTTGGACGCAATCTTCGACCGTCTTGGAGACGTCTTGGAGACCATCCTGGGCCTTCTTGGCCGTCTTG